GGATTGGGAATTTGCTGTACCATGTTTCCTAAAAATCTCATCTAGAGGATACCTGTTTCAAAGAGTGATTTAGGAAATAACAAAAGATAGACTTTACTCTTAGAAATGGTGATTGGTTCTGTGTCCTACAAGAAAAATGGTTGAGTGATGAAAATTTAACCAAAGGTGGGGGGGTGGGGAGGGAGGGAGAAAGAGACAGAGGAGGAGGGAGACAGAGACAGAGAGGGAGGGAGAGAAGGAACGTGCCTGAGCGAGTGCACACAGGCGAGCATCCCCTGTCTAGGGACGTGGAGTCCTACCCACCACAGAGGTGCAGAGTGCAGGAGATAATTCTTCAGATTCTACCAGGGCACAAGTGAATTTTTTAAAGACCACTCAGCTTCCTTTGATTGGATCCACCCTCGCCAAGCAAGTTCAATCACTTATTTCGGTAACTGGTTTCTGCGACTTGGGAGAGAGTTTCCCGATAACTAGTCTTGCTTTTGGAGCCCCCGTTTCAGCTCCTAACGCTCCGCTGACTTCCCTGGTCTTGGCACCCTCAGGATGTCGGGCGGGTGGGAGGAGATGGCAGGTGGAGTGTGGGACAGAGAGGTAGCCTGCCACTTCCCCATCTGAATCAGGGGAAAAGGTCTATCCCTAGTAGAAATTCAATGCTTTGATCCTGTGATTTCTCATACAGTATCTCGTCATTTTTTCCTAACCCCAAATCAGTGCTTCCTATCTGATCATCCTTGGGTGCACTGACAAAATCGAGTTTCCGAAACTGAAGATTCCTAGCAGGCCTCCAGGGACCCAGCTGCCCCCGCCCCCTGCTGCTATTCTTTGATGTCTTTTTAGCTGCAACCTAAGTCATTGGGAACATTCTTTCAGAAGAAAGAAGTGTAAGGCATTTCAAGAGCCTTGTATCCCTCTCTGAAGCCCAGAGCCCTCCTCCTCCCCTCCTACTCCTCTCAGAAGCCTGAAGACAGGGGAAGGATTTGTTCAAATCCTTGGCAAATCTTCAGTAAATTACTCAGATGGCTGATTCCAAGAGGCTATTATGGGCTTCTATAAGTAACAGATATGCAACGGATAATTAGAATTAATAACCCCTAATGATACAAAGTTTCCAAATCTAATTTTTAATTTTTCCTTCTTTAGCCCGATAGCACCAAATAAATGTGTTGAGATTTCACTGAAATGTAATCTCATTTTCCAAAGCCAAGTAGTATGCGGGAGGACTCCTTCTGAGGAATCAGACCAGTGATGGAGCGTCCCCAGCCTGCCTGCACCTGCGCCCTTCTGCAGCCCTGAGCAGGGACAGCTGAGCAGGCGGGCGATGGTCCCAGAGACACCGTACCAGCTCCGCCATGTATTCCTGCCACACTTCAGGCAGCTTTTTATGAGCACCTATGTTTGCAGATGGTGAAGAGAGAACTGGGTGGGGAAAGGACAGATTTTTTTAAAAAACCAACAAACTACCATTTACCACCTGCAATGTGCCAAGCACTTTCCCTAAAATCTCTAATCCTAACAAATACCACAAAAGATATCTGTCATTACCTCTGTTTTACAGATACGAGCACAGAGCGATGGTGTTTCAAAAGCCGTAGTGCCTGCCTAAGTCACATAACCAGAGAGTCGTGAGCCGGGGTTCGAACTCATGTCCGAGGGTCTGAGAAGCCCTTTTCTTCGAAGCACCCAACCCATCTTTCTCCTCTCCCCCTTCCCCTCCTCATCCTCCTCCTCTGTTTTCTGTTTACGGCTTTATTGAGCTGTAATGTACAGACGATAACCCACTGAAAGTATGTGCAATTCCGTGAGCCTGCGCAACCACCACCACCATCTAACTTTGAACCATTTCCATCACCCCAATGAGCCCTGCACGCCCACCCCCCAGCCCCAGGAAATCACTAATCTGCTTTCTGTCTCTAAAGATTTGTTCTTTCTGGGCAAAAAGGAATCACACAATATGTTGTCCTTTGCATCTGGCTTCTTCACTTAGTACACTGTCCGTAAGGGTCATCCAGCTGTGCATGAATCAATACTTCGCTCCTTTTCATTATTTAATAGTATTCCACTGTGTGGATACACCACATATCGATCATCAATTCATCCTTTGATGGACATTTGGGTTGTTTCCAGTTTTTGCCCACTAGGTATCATGCTGCTGTGAGTATTCACATACCAGTCTTTGTGTGGCGGTAAGTCTTCATTTCTCCTGGACATACACTTAAGGGTAGAATTGCTGGATCATACGGTAACTGTGTTTAACTTTCAAAGGAATTTTGAGAAACTGTCTTCCAAAGTGGATGTACCATTTTACATTCCCACTAGTAATGTATAAGCTTCCAGTTTCTCCACATCCTCACCAATATTTGTCATTGTCAGTCTTTCTGATTAGGGCCATTCTAGCGGGCGTGAAGTGGTACCTCATTGGTTTTGATCTGCACTTGCCTACAACTAACGATGCTGAGCATCTTTTCATGTGCTTACTGGCCATTCACACATCTCCTTTGAAAAAAAGTCTGTTCCTGATTTTGATAATTTCTCTCTCTCTCTCTCTCACTCTCTCTGTCTTTAGGATAGCTAAAGGTTTGTCAATTGTATTGATCTTTTCAAAGAACTAACTTTTGGTCACATTGATTTTTTTCTATTATTTTTCTATATTCTATTTCACTGATTTCCTCTCTAAACTTTATTGTTTCTTTACTACAGCTTGCTTTGAGTTTAGTTAGCTCTTCTTTTGATAGTTTCTTAAGATGGAAGCTTAGTTACTAATTTTTTCCTATGTTCTGCCCCCTTATAAAGGGAAGTGGCTGGTTTTCATAGCTTTCCCTGTCCTGGTAGAACTTCCTCACCTTTGCAGGTCAGGCTGGAGATGGGAGCAGCTCCAGCAAGAAGCCACAGATTCCCGCGACTGTTACCCAGTTTCCTGTAGTTTCTCTCAGATACCGCTCCTCAATTCAGCCAAATTCCAGAACCATGAAATGGTTGTTTCTGACAATTTTGTTCGGCTTTCTCATTGCTTTTTGTGGAGGAAATTTGCCAATCTACTCATTCCCACCCCGCCAAAGTCCTGCTTTTAAAGCCCCTCTTCTTTCCTGAAAGGAAACAAAGTTCCGGGCTCACCCTGTCTCCAGTCTAGTTCTCTCGCAGGATCGATGCCTTTGGGGCCTTTGGGGCACAGCTGGTTTTAAAAAAGCACTCAAGTTGAAAAATATTGCTCTGAGGTTATTAACTTTAACAACAATAACAACAGAAATGTGCTTGCGTGGATTCCCTCCCTCTCAACTTCTCCACTACCAGTAAGGATGAAAGGAAATTGTGCAACTTAGAATCTGCGTTTTTAACAGCGAATTCGAGTGGCACTCTTTATCATCCACTTTGTAAGAAAGGCAGAAAATCTGTTCCTCGTCTTGCTGATTTTGCACATGTTCCTTGTACTAACCAGGAGGTGGGGGTCACTGCAGGAAATTGCGTGTCACCCCCAACCTAGGGGCTGGGCTCTTGCACTGAGTAGAGGATTTTCAAGCTACATGCTGACGTAAGGTGGGCGCAGACTATGCAGTTTCTGTAGGTCCAGTTTTATTCCTTGAAGGAAACTGGGCCTGACCTCCCTCCCTCTCCCCAGTGACATGACTCGCTAGAAAGAACAAGGGCTGAGACCTGGGTTCTAGGCTCCAGCTCTGCCACTTTTGCCCATCAAAGCCCCTCTTTGGGGCTTTGTTTCCTTATTAACACATAGTTTTCCTTAAGAGTTTGCTTGCATGTGGAAAACATGGATGGGCTTCAAAAATGATTAAAGTGCTATAAAATGCAAGACTTTAAATTATGAATCGGCGTGCCCTCCATCGGAATCCCAAGATGCAGAGGCTAAGAAAGAGATGGTCCCCGTTGCTGCTTCTTCCTCCCCCTTCTTCCCTACCTCAGAACACAAAACAGCTGCGGTCTACCGGATGAAACCATGCACTCCCACATTACCACTTCCCTCCCAGGTGATAGGAATGCAGGACAAAGGCAGATGCTGAGAGAAGGACACAGCTGTGCTTTAGCCCTTGAGGAATGGTAAGACCAGAATAGACACTGTCTAGAAAGATCCACAGCTGTACTTACTTGCACTGTGGATAAGGGGATCTCACCAGCTTTGGTGGAGGCTGCAAGGGAGTCCATAGGATAGGGGAATACTGGGAGAGACATAGCTCTGTCAAGTGATTTTCCAGGCTTAAACTTTATGTTCACACTGAGTCATCACAGCCCCTCTGCTGTGCTTGTGAAATTTACCAATGCCCCACAGCAAAGCTACATGTTCACAACTGCAAACTTTTGAGAACATTTAAGAGCAAGAAAAAGCTCTCTTTTTAATTAAAGACTTTAAAAGTTTGTTGCATCAGGGATTAGGATTTGTTTTAATATCTTCAAGATGAGTTATGAACTTTTTACCCTAGGGTTTTAATTTAATATCTAAGGAAAAAGAAAGCTATTCATTTCAACATATATATTCAACAGATATATTTTTGTCATACCTAAATAAAGGAAGTTCTGGATCCTAGGCCGGATAAATGAGACAGCGTCTAAGATGTAACCTCTCCTAGTTTTATGGGAACTAGTTAAGCTACATGATTGGAAAAGGGAATAAGGAAGCAGCAAAACCTGCAACTGCAGGTCTTTCAGGACGGAGCCTCTTTAGTAGGGCAGAATTGGACGCTTGGGTTTCAAAGAAACATCCAGAAACACTGCTCGTGGCGGCACGGGTGCCTTGCTTGCATGGGCAGCAGCCCCTGCCTCCAGAGCATCAGTCCCTCCGGCCTTACCTTCCATCCCTTCCACCCACCTTACAGCCCACCTCCTGTTCAGGCCATCCTGCAACCGACCCAGTGGATGAAGACTTACGGCCTCCCTCCTTGCCAGGTCACTCTTCACAGTGGCCCAGCGCCCCGCCCCTGCTGCCTGTCCTTCCGCACTGCGGCTGGGCACAGGTGGGAAGTGACCAAAGGCCAAGGGCAGACCCTCAGAGTTACCTATTTGCCTTTCCAGGTCGGCGGCTTCATCAGGCGTGGCTCGCGGGAGGACTCCAGGGTCGCTGAAGCTGGTGCGAAGCAGGGTCCCCATCACGAAGAAGAACAGGATGCCACCAACCACAGGGATGGCGGGGGTGATTTTCACTGCTAGATACGGGCAGCTGCCAACAGGTTGGGAAGGCAGGAGGGGTGGGGAGAAAGAAAGGAAATACAATGTTAGGAATCCACAGTAAGCAGTCTGTACCTTCTAAGAAGCCAAAAGTCTATCTGGAGGAGTGAAATTGATTTCCATTAAAAATTCATCTACACTAAGGATTTACTTTTGGGGAAGTCTGCAGCTCTATCCTGTGGACGATTTAACCCTTGCTCCCCAGCCACAATAGCCCAAGCCCTCTGCTCCCCCAGGGAGACGCTGGCAGAGGAATGAAAATAATTCTGCTTGTATAATCAATCTAAGATGTATAGAGCTTGTGTAAATATACATGTGTCTTTTGAGCTGTAATCACAGCTCATGAATCTGCAGATTCATAGATTCCACCCTGCCCTGGAATCACGTAATAGGAGAAGACATCAATTTAGTCCTTTCTTCATCAGAGTCGGCTTTTCCTACCTGGGTCAAACATCTCAGGGACTTTTGGCCAGCACAGAACTCTGAGGACTGTAAATCCACCTTAAAATGCCAAGAAACCATTTTTCAATATTTTAGAGGTATTCTATCCAAAAAAGGCTAACGAGCTATAGAAATGAACTTGCAGGCCAGTTTCTGAAGACGATTTAGAGGATTTCAGCTGCTGGAACATAACAATCTCATCTTTTCCAGAAGGCATTTGAGCTACCCAGTGATGAACATGGCCCGACTCTTAATTCTGTGAAAACCTCTTCCCTGTTTTCATTCTGACAAGCTGACTCGCAGCAGCGACTGTGAGGCATCGGAGAGAGGTGCTCTTGGGACAGACTGAAGTTTGTGCGAGGTCAGCGTCTGACGTCTGGCCTGAGATCCAGGTGTCCGGGCCAGGACAATGGGGAGCATAAGGGCCTGGCTGGTTGACCTCACAGGTGGCATGATTCAGGAGTGAGAATTAACTGGACACCTGCACCCAGGTGAGGATGGGGTCTGCGATGACCATGGTCAATCTATCATCACCACACTAAATGGTGTCATGGGTATCAAGGAACATGACACAAATCGTGGAATTATAATATCTAGAGTGGAAAGAGCTGCTAGACTGTCCACCTCATTAGGACAGGCCTGGTGTGGTAGCTCATGCCTGTAATCCCAGCACTTTGAGAGGCTGAGGTTGGAGGATCGCTTGAGGCCAAGAGTTCAAGACCAGTCTGGGCAGCATAGTGAGACCCCATCTCTACAAAAAATATGCTCTTCCATATGCTCAATACAAAGCAAAGAGGAGAGCTGGAGAAGAAAGGATTGGAAAACGCTGCTCAAGACTAGAGGCAGACGGGGGCCTTCGTCCTGGGAACGATGGGGAGCAGCATCCCATTGCTGGGCAGGTCTCTGATGGGAGGATGAAGGGACGTGGCAAGAGTCCAGGTCTTGAGGGCCACAGGCGTGATGCCCTTGCTGAGACCAGAGCCAGGACTGCTCGCACACAGGCCTCTGAGCGCCTGCGCACTTAGACACAGCTACCCAGCGGCTACGGATGCTGATGATGTGCGCCGCGGCTGCGTGAGAGATCCCTCGTTTTGGGAAATAGTCACCGCAGTATTTAGGAATAAAGTGGCATGATGTCGGCAGCTTACTCTCAAATGATCCAGAAAAGAAATTTTGTCTAAATGGAACAAATGGGATAAAATATTAAGAAGAGGTGAATCCGGCTAAAGGGTACATGGATGTTCTTTGCACTATTCTTAATTCTTGCAACTTTTCTGTAAGTTTGAAATTATTTCCAAATAAAAAATTACAGGAAAAAAAGAAATAAACACAGTCCATACTGAAGACATAAAATTAACTCCGGTACTAGATAATAGATTTTAATTGATATATATATTAGCCATATATTGTATTTATTATGATTATATATATTATATGGCTTATATTAATATATGGCACATATATATACACACAACAAAATGGTTAGGAGAAAGATTGATGGTATAGAATTTTCCAGAAAAATTTAAATTCACAATTCAACATAACTGTGCAACTGGTTGTCAAACACAGGAATCGGGGTGTGAATTTGAATGCAACAGTCTCTGTCTCCCCGTTAAACCTGCGCCTGCCCCTGCAGGGAAACTCGGGTGGGCTGGGGCTTTTCTAATCACAGTATGCAGGTAACAGGAAGTCCTTCAGTCACTTTCAGTAGCAAACAGCCTCATTTAAGTAAATAAAAGTGTAACGATCTTAATAGTGGAAACTATCAACCTGATTTTAAGTTAACCCCTCTCCTCTTCCCCAGGGCTAGCTGCAGTTTCTGCCCCTCCACGGAGCAGGGGAGTAGGATGCGGGGCGGGAGAGCGCCCACTCCAGTAGCTCTGCACAAGGTGACTGCGCTGCTGCGCTGGGTCTACCAGGCTTTAAAGCAGACTCTGCTGAGCCTGAGTGCACCGTCCTTCTGCTCCTCTCTGCCTCCTTCCTGCTCCCCTACTAAGGGGCAGCAGCCTTCCTTCCGCCCAGCGCGCCCTGCCACCTCCCCTCCTCTCAGGAGCCCCTCTCTGTCTTCTCCCACCTGGGAACAGCAGGAACAGCGACCTCATCCCTCTGCCTGCCACAGTGGTCCCTGTCTCTCAGTCTGTCCTGCCTGCCTGCTTCCAGCTCCCATCACACATGTCCCTGGCTCAGAAGCCCTCAGTGACTCCCCTGCTCCTGCCAAATGAAGTTCAAGCTCCCTTCCTGGCACCCCAGTCCCATCCAGTCCCCTCCTCATGCCTCCACACTGCCCCTCTCCGCAGCTGACCTCCGGGCGTCTCAGCAGGCCACGAGCAGGCCCTGCCATCCAGCCTGGTGTCCGGAACGCCCTTCCCTCCCATCTCGGCCTGTTAAAGCACCCAGCTGCCCAATTCCAGCTCGGTATCGCTTCCCATAAAGACCTTGGAAAAGGTGTTTCTGGGTTTAGCGCTAAGTGGAAGTGATTGCTTCTTTCTCTGAGCCCTCATAATATGTTCGTGTCTCCCCTCCCTACGGTACCTGTGGCTATTGTGGACACGCCCGTGAGCCTCAATGGACTGACAAGTCCTGCAGGGCGAGACTGGGCCCTCTTCCTCGCTGTGCCCTTCCCAGCACCGACCACCGTGCCTCACATGGCACAAAGGGCTACCACTGCCATGTTTGATAAATATTTTCTGAGTAACTGAAGGAAAGGAATTCACTCAGTGACTTTTACTGTAACACAGAAAGAGGAGGAAAGTCAAATCGGCTCTCAGTCCTCAACATCAACGGCGTATCTTGCGTCTACATTCTAGAACTTCTCTGCTCTTCTAAGCTTGCTAGGTCTGGTAACAGATGCTAAGGATCTGCCCTGTCTTTGAGGCTTCCTCGGCTGAGAGAAGAGTCCTTAGCTCCTCACGCTGACGGTGCATTATACTCACGTTCTGTGAGCATTAACTAGAATCTCTAAGACCTTCTATGCCGGCAGTCCCCAACCTTCTTGGCACCAGGGACGGTTTTCATGGAAGACAATTTTTCACGGGCCCGGGAGTTGGGGGATGGTTTTGGGATGATTTAAGCACATTAAATTTATTGTGCACTTTATTTCTATTATTATGTTGTAATATATAATGAAATAATTATACAATTCACCGTAGGTTGGGGACCCCTACCCTAGGGAATGTTAAGCTGATAAATTTACCTTAACACTCTGGACCAACAGCAGCGGTGCACTCCCCCTTGCTAGAGGATAGTGGCTTTCCTTTGCCTGAAGACAATGTAGAGGTCTCACCTGAGGAGGATGCCTTCCAAGATGCTGCTTCCTCTTCTCAGGATTTGCCACAGTCCCCTTCAGTGTTTCTAAACCAATAATTAGGGTCAAGTTTCATCATGGCCTAATTGAAGAAGCACTGTCCCTGTTTTGGAATAAAAAGGGTTATTCACCAAATATGTACTGGCAGAATTGGAAGAACATACCAGTGGATGGATCTTGGTGTAAGTGTGGGGAAAGTGATCCAAAGTAAAGATATAAATTTGTTGCCTGTAAACCCAATGATCTAGAAAACCTTAAAGAGACTGAATTAACTGAAATGGATAATTTTGAGCCCCAGTCATTAGGGAGACAGGGGCTCAAAGGAGGTTATATTAAGAAAAATGAAAAAGTTGCATTTCTTTGCACACCAGAATTTGTGGGCTACCACTGAAACATCTTTTAATTGGCCAGTTACTTCACTAGATAAAGTAACGATGAACGGTCTTTGTATCCTCTTGTTTCTAATGCAG